TAGCACAGCCTAAGCATCCTTGGGCTAGATACTTTAGTATTATTGATACCTCCTCACTGCTGGACAAAACACCTTCTGAAACCACTCCTGGAATATTTCTTGTGTGAACCAAGCTGATTTATTGTTGTAGTAGACAACTGGCAATGCCTCCATAATGTTTTTCAGGGGCAGTGTGACCCGTGGTCAGGAATCAGGCAGTGTGACCCATCTGCATTCACACACACACGAGAATGGAGAAGCGGTCCTTCATCTGCTTGTGTCCAGGGGTGCTCTGGATGGTTATAGAGGCAGGCCCGTCCTTTAGTGGGGTCGAACGGCCCCGCCAGCACTAGACCCAGTGACTTTGGACACATTACCTGTTGACTGGTTAATCTGACCTGACGGCTTACGCCACCATCGCAACCGTGACCTTACCATCCATAGCGACAGTCCCATGGGGGTTGGTGGGGGTCGGTTCCTCTGACCGCATAATCTGACTCCATATATATATTTTCTGGGGCCCCGCATTGGCTGAGTTGCCTCGGGCCCCGCACCCTCCTAGGGACGGCCCTGTATAGAGGCCTAGGTATTCCTTGGCAAGCTGTGCCAAAAGCACCCTGTTTCATCAGCATTATAAATTTGAAACAGGTAGAGTTTTTTGCCTGAGATAATTTTATCAAGCTTATTCACAAAGGGGTCCACAGCATCACAATCAGCACTGAGCTCACTGGTGATGACCTTGTTCACAATACTAGGCCTGTTCCTAATTCTGAACAACTATCCAGAGCTGGCCTTAAAATTCTGATGGCCAAGGTTTCTAGCAAGACGTTTTGTGGCACATTGAATGTCGATACCCAGCGCTGGTACACCCTCAGTGCATTGCCGTGTGTACCATGTGTACACTGCATCATCTAGACCCACAAACAGCTGCTTTCTTTTATGAAACACCTTTGCCTTGGACCCACCTGTGTCAATCTTCTTTGCCATGGCCCTGAGTTTATACTTGGCATAAACAATATCATAGAAGGTTGACTTCTTGATCCCATACTTTTCAAAGAGGGTCCTGCTGTTGACTCCTCGCTCATACTCTTCCAACATCTCCAGCTTCACCTGCAAGGACAGGTTCTTCTTCTTCTTAAAAGGTGTAGAGACAAGAGACATTGATGGGGTAGGAGAAGCCATCACAACACAAAAAGTTTGTAGTAAATCACCAAAAGTTCACGTAAATGAGTGTAGGCAGTGAGGAGACACACTGGCGATATGTATAGAAGTGGGACTCAGACTGAGGCATGTGCCATGTCCGTGTGACACCCATGCACGTACGAACATGCAAACCATCCTTACTGATATGCATTTTCTGGACTTTTAAATTTTTTTCCGATATATAGAAGGGTAGTCCGAAGCACCTTGGAGAGTCCGAGAAAAGTGAATTCCAATATATTGAAGTCCTATTTATCGAGGTTTTACTGAAAAGAAAAATAAAAAAAAACAAAAACTGTACAGTACTGTACAGTAGGGTGTGACCATTGTCCTCCAAAAATAAAAAAAATGGTCCTACAATGCTGTTCAAAGTTTTAATGTGTATTTATCTAGGAAACACCCCTGTAAATTTTCTTGGAGATCGGTGCATGTCTGAGCTAGCACCGTCGTACCAGCAAGTATTGCTATTTCAGCTTATGAACTTCATAAATAAGTGTGAAAATAGCACATTTTAGCATATTTTCATTTCCGGGTCTGGAACGCTGACCCACAAATTTTCCACGTATTAGTGGAATTTCTTTTATTATACTTATAAGATATACTAACACCAAGCAAATGATCGATCATATCAATCTTAATATCCCTAAAACAATATTATAGATTAGTACGAAATACAATACAGTCAACCCTCACTTTACGCGGTTAATTCAACCCACAGGGTACCGCGGAAAGTGAGAAATGCGTAAAGTGAACAACATAACATATGGAATTCATTGAAATAGAGACCGGCTGACCCCCAAACTCCACTTTTTGACGACACACAACTATGTTGTAGTAAAAATTTTATCTTAACTTTATGATGGTATGAACAAACAAGTAATATAGAAGAGGTTAGGTTAGGAAATATAAAGGTTAAGTTAGGAAAAATAAAGGTTAGGTTAGGAAAACTAAAAGTTAGGTGTAACACTTACGTTAGTAGAAGAGATGGGTCGGCATATGGGGATGGAGGCTGGTTCCGAGGCAGGGGGCAGATTACTGGCCCTCAGGTGAATCACCATTACTAGGTGCATCACCATCACTATCAGTTACAGTTGTCAGGGCTTCCCTGACAAATCCCTCAAAGTCACTTTCACTGTCACTATCACTGGCTGGCTGTGGCGGGTTTCGGGCGAAGAACTCGGTAATGCTTTTTTGACGGCTAGTGTTGATGTTGTCTTGATACACCGTGATGTACGGCTCCATGGCCTGCACCAGCCGGGTATGGAAGACTTCATAGCGGTCATCGTCATTGTCGCGGGAAAGGAAGGACTTCATTTTCTCTGCACACTCCATGGCACCCTTAATATCACTATGACTTAACTTGTGTTCTTCGGAGAATGACGCACTTTCTTCCTCTTCACTGACGTGATCTTCTTCCATCATCTCGTCAGCAGTCACTTCAGGATCTCTGATCACATCCAGGATGTCTTCGTTGGTGGTCTCGGAGAAGCCTTCAGCTGTAATATTGTGCGCAGCTTCTCTGGCAAGGTCCACTGCTACTGCAACAGTCTGAACCTCACCAGTCACAGGTTGACTCCTCCTCTCAGCTGGTATGCCATGCAACACATGTCTCCATGCGTGACGAATCGTAGCAATAGACAGCTGACCCCATGCCTCCACCAAGAAGTCTACAGTTTGTTTGACGTTAAACTTCTTCCAAAACTGTTTGACGAGAACTTCTTGAGTCGCCACCTCTTGTTCCTTGTCCTCGTCGCTTTTACTCTCACTGTCAGTGTCACCCAGCTTACGCAACTCATCCTTGGTGTTGGTAGACTTGTTCAGGAGCTTGAACTTCTTTGCAGAGTATGCAGCTTTCACATTGGAGATCAACTCCTGGTCCATGGGCTGGATTAATGACGTAGTGTTGGGAGGAAGGAAGACCACTTTTACGTTGGGGTGACGATCCATAAGTAGGGGCGAGTGTCCAGGTGTGTTGTCAAGGAGCAACAAAATGTTGAATGGAACATTCTGTTGCTCGCAGAATTTCTTCACATCGGGAACAAAACAGTCGTCAAACCAGAAGAGGGACAGAGAAGAGAACATCCACGCCTTACGTGCGGTTAGCCAGTGGACATTAAGCTTGTTCATGTCCATATTCTTGTAGGCGTGCAGCTTGCGGGCTGTGTGAATCACCGATAACTTTGGTTTACAGGTACCAGAGGCATTGGTGGTAAAGAGGACGGTGATGCGTTCCTTCTGCAACTTCCGACCCCTTACATTGCTGGCAGACCGGACAACGAAGGTCTTGGTAGGCAGCTTTTTCCAGAAAAGACCAGATTCGTCCATGTTAAACACCTGGTCGTCAGTGTACTGTCCTTCCTCCATAGCCTCACGTAAGAACGGAGGAAAATCTCTAGCCGCCACACGGTCAGCACTCGCTTCCTCACCACCAATGTTGATGTTGGTGATCTTGTTCCTCTTCTTAAACCTATGCAGCCAACCAGAGGAAGCATTGAAGGGTTTGGGCTCTGCAATTCCCAGCGTACGTGACACTGCTGCGTAAAGTTCACGTGCGTACTCCTGCACTGAGCGCGTCGACAGCCATCTTCCGTCTTGCCTGACGAATCAAGTAACTCACCAGCAAATTTTTCACCTTTACCAGCACCTTGTTCTGGCAATACTTGATCATTGAAGCACCTGCAGACTTTGTGATTTTCATGTGTTCTTTAATCCTGGCTGCATCCTTCTTAATAGTACGAATCGTAGATTCGTTGACGCCATGCTGGCGCGCGGGATCAGCTTGACGTGTTCCTTTCTCCAAATCTTGAATGATCTGGTATTTCACTTCGTAGATTAGGGCACGGCGTGTCTTCTTGGGCTTAGGGCGGCTGGGTCCAGGTAAGGAAAGGTTTCTCTCTGGTGGCGGTGGTGGTCCGGCGGAAGCCATTTCACAGAACAATGGATGCACGTATACACGGGGTGACCTGGAGGGATGAAAGTAGCGCGGAAGAGTCCTCTTTCCTCCCTCTCTCCCTCCCCGGGTGGACACGTCATATTACTTTAAACCAATTACAGCGAGCAGCAGAGGGGGGTAGGGATGCATGGCCAATCACAGTCCGATATGTCATATGACGTCAGTGATAACGCAACAAAGACACACTGAGCAACCTTACAGCGCGGCTTGCCCAGGCGGAGGGAGGCGGAGGCGGGAGGGGAGGGAGGGAGGAGGGAGGGAGAGGCGCAGGCGAGGCAGGAGGGAGCGGTGGCGGGTGGGCGACCTAAAATAGCGCTCGAAAGCCGACACTCTGGCGGCGCGTGATATGGGTAGAAGAACCGTGTTAAGTGAAAGTTCGGTTCTGGCGAGGCACCGCCAGATATGAGAAATATAATTTTTTTTTTATTTAGGCGAATTTTAGGAGTGTTTCTGAATTTATGCGTTTACTTTACTTTGTGTATACTTTTCTGTGAGCTGGAACCAATTACCCAATATCTCATTGAAACAATGGTTTCGGTTAACGAACGACCCTCTGGAACGAATTGAGTTCGTTAACCGAGGGACCACTGTATATGGAAAAAGGATTACGAAGAACTTGAACATACAGTAACAGTATTATTTACACAGAAACGTTATCATATTACAAGGGGATTGGATAGCCAGGAAACAGTGATGTATAGTATGTGAATGACTGATGCGTAAGGGGCAAAACACTCAGAGCATATTTTAAAGGAAATTGCTAGTTTATTCTGCTTCAATGTATATGAGCCATTGATAAACATTAAATAGAAGAAACAGGAAGTGATATGTGTGTGTGTATATTGTATTTACCACATTGGCTTTTCAGGATGCAGGGGACAATGTGACAGTTGGCCTGTACTCCCCAGAGGACAGTGTGATGCCTGTCAGTCTTCTTATTATTTGGATTATGGCTGTCTTCTCCATTGCTGTTGGTGCCTTCTGGTCTGGAAAAGTACGCCACAAGTTGTAAGTCTTATTAAAGTGTAATATACCTTAGTTTAAGTGAGTCTTACCCCAATTCATTAGTTTATATATTTGATGGCCTACAGTTCACTTGACAAATCACTTTTGAAATTACCCCACCAGTATACCATATAGCCAAGCCCGCTTTGTCAAGGGGTGGGGACCAGATAAACTTAAGTCCAGTGTAACCAACAGTTGCAGCCCCAAATGGTTGTTGCAGAAACCATTAGTCAAAATTTGATTGGCAAGTACATCTTTTATAAAATATAATTTTAGAATATTAGTAAGAACAGTTATTTTTTTTCTACTTAAAAAAATATTATATCATGGTATCAGCTTCTGGAGGGATTCATTTTAAACCCCTCATATACTTGCCGTTGATTTGCATTTCTGCAGTTGCAGTCGTTGGTGCAAACTGTATTTCTACAGTTGCAGTCAGCAAATGAATTTTATCTGATTATCTAGTAGGCTGTGTATGTTTTTGAGGTAGAGATGCTGTTCTGTTTGCTTTGAAAAGTACAGGTATGGGACCGTTTATCCGGCTTCCTGGTATCCGCAATTTTAAAACCAAATTGATCTGGAATAAATGAATTAAAATGAGTCAAGTAATTCCTGGACTGAGTATGAAAATTTCCAACCATTCCCACCAGTGAGCTATATGTTATGTTATGGTTATTTTTCAACTCGTAATATTAGTTAGATATATAATACAGGTATTTATTAGGAAATTACCGGCAAGTTCCGGTGACTACCCCGTTGATCCGATGATAGGAGCAGGAGCAGCAAAGCTCTTTTGAGTTTTGTGGTGGTGGCATGGTGGAAATTCTTGCCATGAGTAAGCAAATATGTATTTTGTGAATTATCAAGACTATAGCAGGGGTGGCCAACCTGTCGATCATATGGGATTAATTGAAATAGAGACTGGGCCGACTCCAAAACTCCATTTTTTCCGACACAATACATACCTTGTAGTAAAAATAACATCATAATTTTATGATGGTATTGACACACACATAATATCTAAATAAAAATCTACACTACTGTACAAGTAAAAGGTGTTTAACACTTACGTTAGTAGAAGAGATGGGTCGGCACACGTGGATGGCAGCTGGTTCCGAGGCAGAGGGCAGATTACTGGCCCTCCGGTGAATCACTATCACTATTCACAGAGGTTTGCAGGGCCTCCTGACAAAACCCCTCAAACCCATATCCTCACTGTCACTATCACTGACTTGGGCTGGCTGTGGTTGTGGTGGGTTGCGGCTAAAAGTCCAATACAGTACTACGCTGATGACTAGCATTGATGTTGTCGTGATACATCTGGACATACGGCTCCATAATTTTCGACAGAAGGTTATTAGACACTTCATACCGACTTGACTGGGTCTTTGTCAAGGATGAGCTTGATTTTTCCCCCAACTCGATGACTTCCTTCACATAACCATGGCTTGGTCCAGGTAGTTCAAGGTTTCGGGTGGTGGGGTCCAGCGAAGCCATTGTGAGGGAATAGCGGCACAAGAGAGAACAGTATACGCAAGGAACTGAGAACAATGAGACTGGCCCGGCTAGGTCAGCGACTTCTTCCTCTGGTGCCAGGGCAATGTTACATTAGACCAATCACAGCTAGTGGCAGAGGGTGGTAAGGATACGAGCCCAATCACAGTCCGACACGTCATATGACGCCATAACGAAGAACGACTCCACGCGACCTCCAGGTGCCGCTTCCCGAGTAAATGATGGAATGAACCCGAACTTAAAATTTTCATTCTGGCAAGGTGCCGCGTAAATGACCTAAATGCGTAAACCAAATCCGCGTAAATGCAGACTATACTGTATAAGATAAAAACTTGAACCCTAAAACCACCAAACCCTGGCTGGGAAGATGTAGGAGGGGGGGAGGGAGGTGACAGTGACATGTTTGACAGTTGGCACCGAAGGTCTAGTGAAGTATTTATTTGTTTATTTATGTCCTTTAGCTTGAGTTTTCTTTTTTGTTTATAAAATGTCACAGAAGTGACCGGGGAGAATATAATTTACATTGCTGGAATTCTTATAAGATAATGATTAATTTGAATAAAATCATGCTATAGTTTGCACTAGACAAAAATTTTAGTAATCGCTAGTACATTATTTTGAGTACATGTACAGTGCAGCTTTGCCCTCAGGCAGTGTAGCGTGCCCAGAGAAACATTAGGTGGGAATTTTAAAATATGATGCGCCAGATCTACTCACGCAAAATAGGAAATATTCGCTTTAAATTGAAACATTGTCCTTAATTGTGGGTGTCGCTTTAAATCAATAATCTTAAATTGAATCCCTTTAAATCGACGTTTGACTGTATATGTATGATGGTGTGTGCATATAACTGAGTAAAATAAATTAAAAAGTTACATATATATATATACCCAAAAATACGAGTTGAAAAATCATAATACCTCACATCTTGGCCCGTTAGCCTGGTGGTTACAGTGATGAGCTAACCTAGCTACAGTGCCATGATTAATCATTATTAAACACCATTCTTTCAGTAAACACTAATAATAACATGTAAATCCAGTGAAATATGGAAGGGAGGAAGAGTTATAACTACAAATGACACAATCTAGCTGTCACTCACTCCCTTTACCCGCTCCAGTTGCCAGGCATAGCCAGGCTTACTTATGGGAAAATACATGACCTCTTTTCTCTCTCTTCACTTGTTTGGGCACCTTCCCACAGCTGGATGAAGGTGGTTGAGGGCATTTGGGAGCCATCAAAAGCACTTGGAGCACAGTTGTTAAGAGAGCAGAGTAGCACACTCACGAGAGACAACTGTTTAACCTGGACTGAGGCAGAGTGAGCATGCATGGCCCAGCCACCTGGGACAAGAGTGACACTCAGGGACAACATAAAAACTCGTGAGGTTCTCAGTCCCAGCTGTGAAAATGCCGCTAACTTTAAAACTATCCCAGAGAAATTCTTGGGTACATCCAGGGTGTCATCCTCGAATAATCGAAGACCACGAATTAAAAATCCACGAATTGTAAGGGCATGCTGTACTGTCTTTAATTTACTTTATGCATGTACAGTGGGGTATGCTATAACGAAATGGATCCTACTACGAATATTTCTATAACGAACTGTTTTGGTTTATAAAATTGAGAATGCTATAATCTAATTCAGCAACTCCTAAGCAACAACGAACGCGATGAATACGTGGACTAATTGCCTGGCGATGAATATTGTTGTACCGACCCACAACAAGAGCCGCCAGGCCATCTTTTGTCTCTCATTGTAGCCAGTGCACCACTGTTATTGTTGAAATTTCTGCCTTTGATAAAATAGAGTTATTTGTATAAATATTTTGTTATACAAGTGTACAATTGTAAATGAATCGCCTGGGCCGCTTAAATGAGAAAGCCTGGCAACTCTTGAAAACTAAGAAAGAAATCATAAAGAAACGTGAGAATGGAACAAGATTATAAATCCTTAGTGATGCTAAGATAGATGGCTAACCGACTATATGTAATGATTTGAAGAATAAAGAGGAGTTGAAAACAGTGCAAGTGGCTGGCGGAATCTTGTGATTCCCAGCAAGCAAAGCAAGGTGAAATGTGATTGAGGAGATGGAATTTACTCTTAGTGTGGATAAAGGAGAAAGAATGGCAGGTGATAGCATTAGTGGAAGCTATAATTTGTGAGAAGGCCAGGACAATTGTCGGAGGACTCCTGGTGCCAAGAATTCTGGTGCAAGTGATAGTGATGTACAGTGTTTAGGGTACTAAGGGGTGGCTTACTGGTTTCAGAAGGAGAAAAACAATTACATAGTGTTGTGACATGGTGATGCTGCTAGCAGATAAGGAACACTATGACGTTTTTTTTGAATATTGTTAAAGAGGGAGGCTTTTGTTTCTCAGCAGGTACCCTAACTGTGATGAAACTGACTTGGAAAAATGCCTCACGCATATTAAGCATTACCAGGGAGTGAAACTCCTGTCCCCACATATAAGCCAATGAAAGACAGGCTTACTCCCTCCTTAGCAATGCTTTGGTGACTGCAAAATACAGCCACCTTGTGTACTCATGGCAAAACCCCAGAGCTTTCAAAAACAGCTGGGAAGACCTGCCTTGGTGTTACGTGGCTGTCAAACCTAAAGGCTTGGGCTACCAGGAGTTGGTTCTCTGAGCAAGGATCGAGGTGTTTGGAATTCCAGTGTTCGGGAATACCTCAGGAGAATAATTCTTCCACTGAAAGCTTTGTTGGTGATGGACAATGCACCAGCCCACCCTCCTAATTTGATGGTTGAATTGTGTCAGAGAGTTTTCGACCGTCATTGTGCACTTTGCCACTCAACACAACACCTCTCATCTCAGCCCATGGATCAACAGGTAATTTTTAACTTTAAGAAGCTGTAACACAAAGGCACTGCTTAGAAAAATGTTTTATTTCCACTTTTCCAGTGATGTTGGGGCTTTGAAGGAATTTTTAAGAGTTACCAATATAGCAGACGCCAGGTTTTTACCACGTCAGCCTGCAAAAGAGGTTATCGTGAGGTGTCTTTTAGGGAAGCGTTTGGAGGCCATTGTGGCTTCGATGTGTTTCAAAGAGACTTTTAAAAGTCAAGAGTTAGAGGAAGAGGCTGTTGCATGAAATTGTGTGTCTAGGCAATTCCATGGGCCTGGAAGTGATGATGATGATGTTGAGAGCGGGTGGGAAGAGCACAGCAAGGAGCTGTCCACTGAGGAGCTGCTTGAGCTCACAAAAGAGGAAAATGAGACACTGAAGCCGTGAGTTTAACTCTGGGAGGAGTCAGGGGGAGGATGAGGACATGAAAGTCGTGATCATTCCAGCCAAGATCTCTGGCGGATAAAAGTTTTCTGCTGGAGCAACTGGTCTAAGCTTGTTGAGGATTATCCCGATGTTAAGCCTGAAAAGGCCATCAGTGTGTTAAATGGCATGTTATGAACTACTTTTGAAGGTCCAGAAATCAAGTTTGAAGCAGCTAACCCTGATTCTCTTTTAAAAAAGTAGCAAAAGAACTCATAGACAAAGTGCCTGTAAGACAGTCACCAAAAGAGGGTTAGAAGGATGCGTGACTCCTCTCCCTTCCAATTCTTCTCCATACTTTCCCCTCTGCTCCTGGTTCCTGCATGCTGAACAACAGAAGGTAAGATAAAAGCACGCATCGTATTTTTTACATTTGCCATAAATTTTTCAGTGTTAAGTAGTTGTATTGTATGCGGAACGGACAATTCTATAACTAACGAATGCCATATAACGAATCTAACGTTATGTAAATCTAACGCAGGTTCTAGAACCAATTAGATTCATTATAGCATACCCCACTGTATTTATCGGAACAGGTATCTGTTTTCGTAAATATTTGTAGCAATCAAATCCAGTGATGTAAATACTACTGGCATCTTTTTGACTATGGCATTCCATTGAGGGTCCACTTACTAAGGTACTTCATAGACACTCTGTCCCTTATCCATCCATTTGATTTGGACTTGACTACTGCCAGAGCTTTGGTGGATTTATTATCTTTCACTCCCTTCAGAGAGGAACTTTTTAACCTGCCAGTCTTTGCATTGTTCCTAAGCATATTAGACACTTCCTCGTCCTTAATGGGTATAGTGTTCCACTTAGATATTTAACTTGTGCTTCTTTTGTAATTCCAGGTATTGTAACTGTATTTCCATGCTATTTATTTTTTTTAATCACTTCAACACCTCTTGTACAGTGTAACCTTTATTACCCTTTTTTCTTAGAATCTGTTTCACACTCATTCAGGGGTAGAAATTCACCATTTTCATAAAGTCGCCAGCAGGACTAGTAGATTTGAAAATTTACTAGTCCTTAAACAATTTGTCAAGAAACATTAAACATTGGCACTTACCGGGTTTATACAAAGTCCTATTTACTGTGACATTTATTTACTAGTAGAGACCATATTAAATCATAAATCAACACTGGAACAATCACATATTAACTAAATTATTAACATGAAGCATGGATTTACAGTGTGAACACTGGAATAACCATATATTAACTAAATTAATTGCATGGAGCACATTCCATTGTGATGAAGCTCTTTGGAACGTACCAATATATCAAAATTATTTCCTAATCCAAATGTAAACCATATTCATCTGCTTATTTTGAATAAAAGACAATAAAAATTCTCATATTGTATAACTAACAAGTGAACTTGCTGTGTTTAGGTTTGTGAACTGCACTTTAAATCCTCTGATTATTATCAACGGTCACCAGTTATTTCGATGAACACACTGGATTTAACTATAACATCCAAATTGATCGACTTTGACTGAAACCCGCATAGATCCACCAGTGCTTTCCCAATTGGATAATAATAATATATAATTTGCAAAATAAATAATGATAACCTTAGAGTAAAGAATAAGAATGTGCAGCTAACCTTGACCAAATTCTAATACTATATCTTTATAATTCACTTTGATCTATAATGCAATAGTTAATTACTATTTTATTGATTGTATGTGAATTGGTTGTCAAATTTCTAGAGGCGTATTATTTTTCGATATCTTGTTTTATCGGTGATACTCTGAATATGTACTTGAAATTGTTTTTTGATAATAATGTGTGATTGTTGATGAAAGGCAAGTTTCATCACTTGTCAATTGTTTATTCTGCCTATTATACATTCAGGTATTAAATTTCCTGTCATTGCTTTTATATATTATGTATAGAATGATTCTCAATAATAATTATATATCTACATAATTAGATCGTGTATTCATTACACTGCACGGTTTACACTACACCGACATGAATAGCGGTGGTATCCGTGTGTGGCGTCATACAATCCCTGAACCGGCCTGGTGTTCTAGGTGGCATTGCACCAACTCATTTGTCCAGTTTTATCACACTACATTATATCATTGAGTGTATATATTTTATTATCATTTTCATATAAAGTGTTATATACAGTAAATGGGTATCCCTTCCGTGATACAATTAAATAACTAGCATTAGTAGTGAAGTCTCTGTATGAAGCTCTTATACACATTGAATGGGTTTCATTGTCATCGAGCGATCCCAGACCAACAAAATATAGTAAAATCTTGTCGCTCTTATGATATTTTGGTCGCCTCGGGTGACCGGGCGTATGTGAATTTCTACCCTTGCTCATTGTTCCTTTATGTGCAGTTTTCTGCTCTCCAGTGTTGCTCCACATGCACATTAGCATATAATCCGTGTACAGCTTTCATGCATTGTGGGACTCAATTTTTATAATTTATTTGCATTTTATTATTCTATCTCTCACTACCAGACTCTTCTCCATGCACTTTCCTCATTCTTCACTTCAGTTTCTGTCTTAACTTCCTTCTTACAGAAAATATATAATGTTGACTAGGTTTTATTAGTGGAAGCTATACTACCCATTCTAATTTTGTCATTCCAAATACTCGTCAATCTAATCTTCCTATCATGACACTTCTCAGAGCTCTAATAATATTTCTACATTTCAGTAACCTTTCCTAATAGATAAGTCAGGTTTCAGATTTCTGTTCATAATAGGTAACGTGAATATTTAATTTTATCTTTTTTTATCATTCCATTCCTGTTTCACAGTACGACTCTTCTCTAAAGTAAAGTACCCCTTAAATTATCCATACCATCAGCTAAATATCCCTTTAATCCCCGAGATACTTGAGTGAGCAGTTCGGGCAGGAGGTTGAAGTTAATGAGGAGGCTAGTCACCCCGTCTTGCCTGGAAGAAACTTCCATTAACCTCTCAACAAAGAGCATCCTGTTGTGGTGCCTGTGTATGATGTTGCTCAGTCTCTACTTTTTGTATGATTACTTGGGTAAGTGTTCATGCTTATAGCTTTCTTCAATACTCCATTATTTGCATGCTTTAAAATTTTTATTACTAAACTAACAGCCATAAGAACTCTTAATGATTATGAGGAACAGTATGTAAGTGGAGGAGTAAGGTCATCAGTAATGGGGAGTACAAGTCAGTGTGTGAGGAGCACAGGTCATCAGTATGAGAGGCACGTGTGTATAGAGCACAGGTCAGCAGTATGTGAGGAGTAAGGTCAGCAGGCAGAGGAGTACAGGTCACAGTATGTGAGGAGCAAGGTCAGCAGTATGTGAGGAGCAGTCACAGTATGAGGAGTACAGGTCAGCAGTATGAGGAGCAAGCATCAGATGTGAGAGTAAGGTCATCAGTGAGGAGTACAACATCAGTATGAGGAGACAGGCCATCAGTATTGAGGAGTACAGGTCACAGTATGGAGGAGTACAAGTCATCAGTATGGAGTAAGAGACACAGTATAGGAGGACAAGTCATCAGTATGTGAGGAGTAAGGCATCAGTATGTGAGAGTACAGCCAGTATGAGGAGTACAGGCCATCAGTATGAGGAGTACAGGTCATCAGTATGAGGAACAAGCACAGTACAGTGAGGAGTACAGGTCATCAGTATGAAACCATCAGTATGTGAGAGTACACAGTGTGAGGAGTACAGGTCATCAGTATGGGGAGTACAAGTCACTGTGTGAGAGTACAAGCCATCAGTGAGAACAGTCACAGTATGGGGAGTCATTTGAGAAAGCAGTGAGAGGTCATCAGATGAGGAGTACAGGTCATCAGTATGGGGGCACACAGTGTGAGGAGTAAAGAATCAGGTAAGGAGTACAGGTCAATGTTCAGTATGTGGAGGAGGCCATCAGTATGGGGAGTACAAATCAGTGTGAGGAGCAAGTCATCAGTGTGTGAGGAGACAGGCCATCAGTATGTGAGAGTACAGGTCAGTATGGGGGAGATCAGTATGTGAGAGTGAGAGTACAGGTCACAGTATGTGAGAGTCAAGGTATGAGTACAAGAAGAGAGTAGGTCATCAGTATGGGGGAGGACAAGTCATCAGTATGTGAGTACAGGTCATCAGTATGTGAGGAGTACAGGTCACTGCATGTGAGGAGTACAGGTCATCAGTATATGGGAGACTGTCACTGTGTGAGGAGTAGAAGTGCAATCAGTATGTGAGGAGCACAGTAGCATCAGTATGTGAGAGTACAGGTCACAGTATGAGAGTACACAGCATGTGGGTATGTGGGGAGTACAAGCATCAGTATGGTGAGTAGTCAGTATGAGGAGCAACAATAGTATGTGGAGAGTACAGGTCAGTATGTGAGAGTACAGGTCAGTATGGAGGAGTACAAGCCAGTATGTGAGGAGTACAGGTCATCAGTATGTGAGGAGTACAGGTCATCAGTATGTGAGGAGACAGGTCATCAGTATGGGAGGAGTACAGGTCATCAGTATGTGAGAGCAGGTCATCAGAGGAGTACAGGTCATCAGTATGAGGAGTACAGGTCATCAGTAGGAGAGCACAAGCCATCATGTGAGAGTACAGGTCTCAGTATGTGAGAGGACACAGCATGGGGGAATACAAGCACATGTGAGGAGTACAGGTCAATCAGTATGTGAGGAGTACATGTGAGCAGTATGTGAGGAGTACAGGTCATCAGTATGTGAGAGTAGCACACAGTAGAGAGTACAGGTCAGTATGTGAGGAGTACAGGTCATCAGTATGTGAGGAGTACAGGTCATCAGTATGGGGAGAAGCCATCAGTGTGTGAGGAGTTGTCATCAGTATGGCACAGGTCATCAGTATGTGAGGAGTACAGGTCATCAGTATGGGGGAAGCAAGTCATCAGGTGAGGAGAAGTCATCAGTATGTGAGGAGTACAGGTCATCAGTATGTGAGGAGTACAACATCAGTATGGGGGAGTAAGTCATCAGTATGTGAGGAGTACAGGCATCAGTATACAAATCAGTGTGTGAGGAGTACAGGTCATCAGTGTGAGGAGTACAGGTCATCAGTATGTGAGAGTACAGGTCAGTATGGGGGAGCACAAGCCATCAGTATGTGAGGAGTTACGTGTGTGAGGAGTACAGGTCAGTATGTGAGGAGGTAATAAGTATGGGGAGCAAGTGTCAGTATGAGGAGTACAGGTCATCAGTATGGGGGAGTATCAGTGTGTGGAGACATACAGTATGTGAGGAGTACAGGTCATCAGTATGTGAGGAGTACAGCACACAGTGTGAGGAGTCACACAGTATGGGGGAGTACAAGCCATCAGTGTGGAGTAAGGTCATCAGTAAGTGAGGAGCACAGGTCATCAGTATGTGGAGGAGGCAGTCATCAGTATGTGGGGAGTATGTCATCAGTGTGAGGAGACAGGTCATCGGAGAGAGAAATAACAGCATGTGAGGAGGTATCAGTATGGAGGAGCAAGTATGTGAGGAGTACAGGTCATCAGTATGTGAGAGTACAGGTCATCAGTATGTGAGGAGGAGGTCAGTATGGAGGAGTACAAGTCATCAGTATGTGAGGAGTACAGGCCATAAGTGGGAGGAGTACAGGTCAGTGTGAGGAGACAGGCCATCAGTATGAGAGTACAGGCTCAGCAGTGTGAGGAGTACAGGTCAGTATGGAGGAGTACAGGTCATCAGTATGTGAGGAGTATGTCAGTATGTGAGGAGTACAGGCTCAGTATGGGGGAATACAAGTCATCAGTATGTGAGAAGTACAGGTCATCAGTATGTGAGGAGTAAGGTCATCAGTATGAGAGTACAGGTCATCAGTATGGGGAAAGGTCACGTATGTGAGAAGCACAGGTCAGTATGTGAGGAGTACAGGTCATTAGTATGAGAGTACAGGTCATCAGTATGTGAGAAGTACAGGTCATCAGTATGTGAGAGCAGGTCATCAGTATGGGGGAGTAAGTCAACAGTGTGTGAGGAGTTTAAGCTATGTGAGTACACAAAGTGTGAGAGTACAGGTCAATAAGTGGGGAGCACACACAGTGTGTGAGGAGTATAAGCTATCAGAGAGTACAGGTCATCAGTATGGGGGGAGCAAGTCATCAGTGTGGAGGAGTATAAGTCATGGTGAGGAGTACAGGTCATCAGTATGTGAGGAGTACAGGTCATCAGTATGGGGGAGTACAAGTCATCAGTATGTGAGGAGTACAGGTCATCAGTATGGGGGAGTACAAATCATCAGTGTGTGAGGAGTACAGGTCATCAGTGTGTGAGGAGTACAGGTCATCAGTATGTGAGGAGTACAGGCTCAGTATGGGGAGCAAGTCATCAGTATGTGAGAGTACAAGCCATCAGTGTGTGAGGAGACAGGTCATCAGTATGTGAGGAGTACAGGCTATAAGTATGGGGAGCACAAGTCATCAGTATGAGGAGGCATCAGCATGGGGGAGTAAGGTCACTGTGAGGAGCACAAGTCATCAGTATGTGAGTACAGGTCAGTATGTGAGGAGGCACATCAGTATGTGAGGAGTACAGGTCAGTATGGGGAGGCAAGTCAGTGTGTGAGGAGTACTGGCTCATCAGTAAGTGAGGAGTACAGGCCATCAGGAGAGTACAGGTCATCAGTATGGGGAGTACAAGTCATCAGTGTGTGAGGAGTACAGGTCATCGGTATGTGAGGAGTATAGGTCATCAGCATGAGGAGTACAGGTCAGTATGTGGGGAGTACAGGTATCAGTATGTGGAGTACAGGTCATCAGTATGGGTGAGTACAAGTCATCAGTGTGTGAGGAGTACAGGTCACAGTATGTGAGGAGTACAGGTCATAGTATGTGAGGAGTACAGGTCATCAGTATGGAGGAGCAAGTCATCAGTATGTGAGAGTACACACAAAGGGAGGAGTACAGGCCACAGTATGTGAGAGTACAGGTCAGTATGGGAGGAGTACACATCAGTATGTGAGGAGTACAGGTCATCAGTATGTGAGAGTACACACAGTATGTGAGAGGCAGGCATGAGAGTACAAGTATGTGAGAGTACAGGTATCAGTATGTGAGGAGCTAGTCATCAGTAAGGGGAATAAGTCATCAGTATGTGAGAAGTACAGGTCATCAGTATGTGGAGAGTAACAGGTCATCAGTATGTGAGGAGTACAGGTCATCAGGTGGGGAACAAGTCATCAGTATGAGAAGTACAGGTCAGTATGTGAGGAGTACAGGTCATCAGTATGTGAGAGTACAGGGCATGTGAGAAGCACAGGTCAAAGGTGTGAGAGTACAGGTCATCAGTATGGGGATGTCATCAGTGTGTGAGGAGCAAGCTATCAGTATGTGAGTACAGGTCATCAGTATGTGAGGAGTACAGGTCATCAGTATGGGGGAGTACAAGCCATCAGTGTGTGAGGAGTATAAGTCATAGTATGTGGAGAGCAGGTCATCAGTATGTGAGGAGTACAGGTCATCAGTATGGGGAGTACAAGTCATCAGTATGTGAGGAGCAGGTCACTGTGATGGGGAGTACAAATCATCAGTGTGAGGAGTACAGGTCATCAGTGTGTGAGGAGTACAGGTCATCAGTATGTGAGGAGTACAGGTCATCAGTATGGGGAGCAAGTCATCAGTATGTGAGGAGTAAAGGCTCATCAGTGAGTGAGGAGTACAGGTCATGCATGTGAGGAGTACAGGTCATAAGTATGGGGAGCACAAGTCATCAGGTATGAGGAGGCATCAGCATGGGGAGCATGTCAGTGTGTGAGGAGCACTGTCACTGTATGTGAGGAGCAGGCACACTGGTATGTGAGGACAGGTCAGTCATGTGAGGAGTACAGGTCATCAGTATGGGGAGTACAAGTCATCAGTGTGTGAGGAGTACTGGTCATCAGTAAGTGAGGAGTACAGGTCATCAGTATGGAGGCACTGTAGTATGGGAGCAAGTCATCAGTGTGTGAGGAGTACAGGTCATCGTATGTGAGGAGTAGAGTCACTGTGCATGTGAGGATACAGGTCATCAGTATGGAGGAGCACAATATCAGTATG